ATACTTAGGTAACTTTAAAAAATACATTTTTATTTATTTCAGAGAGAGAAAAGGAGAGAGAGAAACATCAATGATGAGAGAGAATCATTGATCGGCTGCCTCCTGCTCCCCCCCTACTGGGGATTGAGCCTGCCACCCGGGCCTATGCCCTGAACTGGGAATCGAACCGTGATCTCCTGGTTCATGGGTCAATGTCAACCACTGAGGACCACCAGCCAGGTACATAGGAAATAAGTAGAGCCTAATTTTGATAAAAACAGTACTATTTTACTCCATCGACCCATCTTTTGGAGACAGTCATTTTTCTGGAGGGTTTGGCCTCTTCACTGCCACAATCTATTAGCCTAACCACTGCTCATCTGGTCCCCAAAGCATTTTGGAATTCCCCCATTCTAGATCTGGATCAGAGGGTAAAACTCCACATTTCGTTTCTTTAGCTCTATCACTGTTGACATTTGGGTAAGTCTATTCTGTGATACCCTGATAACCATCTGCTTCTCTGGATAATGTACAGCCTACTTTCTATTGAATTAGCTGAGATCATCAGAAAACTACACTAGGACCCTATGAGCTAGGCTCTTTTGCTGAATTACATGTTATGTAATATGCATGGCTTTATCCAGGGATTTTTAAAAAAAGAAGTAACATGAAATTCCCTATTATGTAATTAAGAATATTGCTTATTAAATGTCATTCTGTATTCCATATATAAAGTCTAATGTGAGGAATTTCCTCCAGAGTTTGGGGGCATGAAAAAGTTTGTTTTCTTTGATAAAGGGTACTTGCCCAACTTTTAGATAATAAAAGATGTGTAATTTACCTTATTTATATATTTACCTGAGGCTGGAGGCACAGGGGCAAATTTGAATGTTAATTGTCGCAATTAAATTAACAAATTTTATAAATTAAATAGTCATTATGTAAACCAGGAGTTAGTTAGTTATGACCACCCCCCCCCAAACACACCCGGTGCCTTCTATTCTTGTAAATAAAGTTTTATTGGAGCACAGCCATGGTCTATGGCTGCTTTCCTGCTACAGCGGCAGACTTCAGCAGTTGCTATTTGACCCTTTACAGAAAAATACTAACAATCCTAATGTAGTCACATGATGGCATGGCTCAGACCAAATGCACTAGCCCTGAAGAAATATAAACCTAGGCAATTACTATAATATGTGGCTACTTGGGAATGTCTTAACAGAGAAGCTGTGCTACAAAAGGCATTTCATCTTTAAATAGTGGGAACATAGAAGGGCAGTTTACTTTATTATTTTTTAATCCTCACCCTAAGATATTTTTTCCATTTATTTTCAGAGAAAGTGAAAGGGAGGCAGGAGAGGCAGGAGGGGGGGAGAGAGGGAGAGAAACATCAATGTAAGAGACGTATTAACTGGTCACCTTCCGCACGCACCTTGACCAAAGCGGGGCATTGAACCTGCAACAAGGGTACATGCCCTAGACCAGGAATTGAACACTTGACCCTTTGGTCTGCGGGCCGATACTCTAACCACTGAGAAAAAATGGCCAGGGGTAGGAGGGCATTTTATGTGGGAGAGAGCACATTTTGAGCATGTGGGATTATTTTGAAAATGGTTTTTGCCCAGTTGGAATTGGACAGTAGTGACAATGCAGTTGAATAGGTGAGATGATTGTTGCAGGGCTTAAAAACTAGGAATCAAAATTTGCATTTAATCTGACAGGCTTTTGAAAACTGTCTTAAATCTTCAAGGGAATTGATGTGATGGAAATAGCATTCTGGGACAATGATCTGACAGCAGTGTATGGGATGAACTCAAGCAAGACTAAGCAGTTACTGAAGTAAGCCTCGCGTGAGGAACTCAGATGATGGGGATGGAAACGGAGAGGGAAAGCAGCCTCCGAGAAGCTGGAAAGAATGAGGTCAACTTTGGGACTCACTGGATTTAGAGAATGGCGGGAGGGAAATTGTGAGAGGAGAATTGGGAAAAGCTGAAACGTGAACAGTTTTTTTGAGAGAAAATATGTGTTTTGGTTTTGACATCTCCAATTTCTAGTGTTTTAGAGCCTTATAAGAGAGAGTAGGGGAGTGTTTGGAGATACAGACTAGATCAGCCGTGGGCAAAGTACGGCCCGCGGGCTGGATCCGGCCTGTTTGAAATGAATAAAACTAAAAAAAAAAAAAAGACCGTACCCTTTTATGTAATGATGTTTACTTTGAATTTATATTAGTTCACACAAACACTCCATCCATGCTTTTGTTCCGGCCCTCCGGTCCAGTTTAAGAACCCATTGTGGCCCTCGAGTCAAAAAGTTTGCCCACCCCTGTACTAGATGAAGGCTCTGGGAGAGTTTACATAAAGGAAGAGAGCACAAGGTCAGAGCCTCGGGGGTGCCTTCAGGAATCAGAGAGGACAGAGGAATAGGAGGAGTTGGTAGAGCAGTGTTTCCCAGTATGTCCCAGGAAAGGCTGGCTGTATAGACCCGTGGTCGGCAAACTGTGGCTCGCGAGCCACATGCGGCTCTTTGGCCCCTTGAGTGTGGCTCTTCCTAAGCCTTAGGAGTACCCTAATTAAGTTAATAACAATGTACCTACCTATATAGTTTAAGTTTAAAAAATTTGGCTCTTAAAAGAAATTTCAATCGTTGTACTGTTGATATTTGGTTCTGTTGACTAATGAGTTTGCCGACCACTGGTGTTAACAGGAATTTCTAGAAAGAAAAAAAAAGGTGCCATGATCAGATAAGTTTGGGAAACTTGGGTTAAAGCTAACCAAACTCCTTGCTTTAGAACCTCTCAGATTATTTAATGACATGCACTATTATTTAGATCTCTCTCAAATTATAGATTCATATATACAACTTTATACCTGGCATCTCCCCTTGGCTTTCTGTTAGGTCTCTAAAACTTACCTGTTTCAAGTGGAATCTTGGTCTTCCCCCACAAAACTTGTTTCACATCTCAGTTGATGGCAACAGCATATTTTCCTTTTGTAAAAAATGCTGTGGTAATGTATAAATTGTTTTGTTTCATGTGTAAAATGCCCAAAAGAAATGAGATTAAAAATAAAGTTGCTCAGATCCAAAACTTTGGAGTCACCTTTGACCTCTTTTCCCTCCTCTACTGTCATCTCATTCTTTAGCAACCACAGTTGGCTGTCTTCAAAGATATCCCGAATCGGACCACTTCTCACCTCAAGTGATTCGGTTAAAATCTCACCCCCTTTTGTGTGTAGTAGTTTCCCGTTTCACTCAGGATACATGCAGCAGTCCGTCCAGGAGCCCTGAAGGCCTGGAAGGACTGGCTTCTCATTGGCTCTTTGGTTACCATTTTCTTCCTCCTCCATTCTGTGCCCGATCCATCTCTGCTCTTTCTGGAGCAGGTCTTAAGCATTTCATTAGCTTAGGGCTTTTGTACTCACTGTTTTCTGTTTCTGTGACACTTTCCACAAATATGTGTATGCCTAAAACTCCAAATGCCACCCTCTCTAGAAAAGACGGCCATATTTAAAATAGCGTGTCCTCCCCTCATCTCTCATTCCCTTTACTCTATCTAGTTTACTACTTTTTTGTCCCATAGCACTTACCACCTTTTACCATGTTATATTTCATTATCTTTTTTTTTTTTAATTTACTGTCTGCCTCTTCCTGCTAGACTGTGAGCTCCAGAGTGTCAGGATTTTTGTCTATGTTATTTATTGAGGTAACTTAAACATCTAGAACAGTTTCTGATTCACAATAGGCACCTAATAAGTGTTTGTTAAGTGAATGATCGAATCTTCAAGATGGCAATATATGTCCCTACACACTCCTTTTTTCTCCCTGTGGAGATCTCTTTATTGTGGGTTTCCCAAGGACATACTTTGGAAAATTCTGCTGTGATGTCTTATGGAATTCAAAAGAGAAGCAAATTTCAAGAAAGGTCAGATTAGTGCAGCTGGAAAGTTGAGATGTTGACCTGCCTCAGCTAAAGAGTAGATTTACACAGGGACCATCATTTGCCGTCATAGAACCAGTTTCAGTGCTGTGAAATATCAAACTCAAGGAGTAAAGTTGGACCTAGATGTTGAAGAAGGAAGCTAGGATAAACTATTCATTCAGGGAGGTTAACTTTGAAAGAAACCCAGGAAAGTAGTTTGCCTTCAATGTTGAGATCAGGAGAGCTTGGTTTTGCAGCCTGTTATTTTTATAAGCAACCTAGAGTACTGAAGTGACATACATTTTTTGAAAGGTATATGTAATAAATGGGTGACCTAAAGCATCCATTTTTTAAGATAGTGTAATTTGGTGGGTTCAGTGCTGCATGGGAATTGGATAAATTTGAGTTCTTAGGAAATCCTCTTACTAGTTCTGTGTCTTTGATTTATCACCTGCCCTCCTTCATCCTTTTGCATATTTTTTGAGACCCCAGTAGGAATGAGAGGTGCGATGTAAATATTAAAAATTGGTGCTTAACTGCTTGCTGGTTCCTCTTTTAGAAAACAAGCAATCTGTTTTGATGTGCATTTCTAGGTCATTTCTCTACTTCCTGAAAACAGCTCACCCAGGCTTTACACTTGTTGGATTAGTGCTTAAATGAAAGCTTTGTTCTAAAGCAAAGCATAGTTTAAACAATTTTTGAAAGTTTGACTATTTCTTCCTTAGAAGTTTTGATCAATAAAAAAATTAATTTCTATTTCAAACATGTCATTGAATTTTTTAAATCATGTTATTAGGCTAGAACTTTTGGATTTTGGGGACATTGGCAGGGGTGGGACGGAGGTTCTATAGTGTGAATTCATCCGTTTCTGAATTAGAACTAATGGGAAAAACCAAGAGCTTTTGGACATTTTAGTTTATCAGCCATGGCATTTGAGGACTGAAGAGGTTAACAGTGAAGTGTATGGCAAGGATTACTCAGCAGAGCCCTGTGCTTTATTTCCGTTGTTGACTTTGGAATGAATTACTTTAGTGTTATTTGAGGAGTAATTGGTTTGAACTCCTTTTCCAGATTAACAAATATTTTTTTGTTTTGGTTACAGAATCTGCATACATATATGTCAGAGAAGCAGAAATGTCAGATGATATCAGGAAAAGGTTTGAATTTCCAAATTCTCTTATCCAAACACAGGTAATTTAATTAATTAATTTATTTATTTATGCTTCGTGGTAACAGGTGAACTTTTTTGGTAGATTGTTAATTTAACTTTATATTTTTAACATTGAATATTTTTTCTATATTAGAGATATCATTTTATTAAACAACTTTTATATGAGTTAATTTGAAAATTTATGTACTTTTTGCTCTATAATTAATTATTGGGAACAGAAATAAATGGTTAGGCCTCTACAGATATATGCATTTATAGAGTATGAGAGACTAATATCTTAAAATGTATATTCTGCCTCTATACAAATGTAAGAAAAATAGATTTTTATAATAATGACAGTAAGTAAACTATCCTGGATTAAAAAACTTCAATCTATAAACTCTAACTCAGGCAGGAGATTATAATTTATTTTAACGAGCTTTTCAATTATTAGGGTTAAACCAAAGATGGCTTTCTGGTTAGCTTTCAGCTAGCTAGAAGCATTGTGGTTAATCAAGGTATCATAATAGCTTACTGTCTTTTCTTGTGAGAGTAAAGATAACAGAACAGCAGAAGCCTGCCTGAAGACTTAACCACGGACAGCATCTCGGCCACTTTCAACAGTTAACTTTGGAGATGCCTGCTGTGGGAATTGCCTTAGCTGGGTAGTGGGGAACCCTTCCATGAGGAGAAGAACACTCCTTATGCAAGATTCCCTTCTGCCTGACTGGGTTGGAGTCTTATCCTTCACAGCACAGGTTCTTACCATGAAGAAGAAATGAAGATTTGGAGAATACTGGCCTCAAATTTTTTTTTTCTGGCCTGGAGTCCCTTCATTAGCGTGGATAATCAAGAAAGGCCTATGTGTGTTACTGTTAAATCGAGTGAAAAGTGTATATATACACTTTTAGTGTATATGCACATATATACTTTTTTAGGACGTCTTTTTAAACTATTCTGTTATGCAAAACTAAAGTAACAATGTAGGCTGATATATTCTTGGATTTTGTATTTTAAAATCAATTTAGGCTATATTCTCTGATTTTAACGCCTGTGAAATTGGGTTGCATCTCGTAATTGATGGCAGTAGTCATCATACAGTTGGTATTGCCTATGCATTTGTGAACTTGGCCATGATTTTCTAAATGAGTTTGAAAGAGCTTTCTTAATATAAAATAAAAATTCGAAACCATATGAAGCATTGTATAATATAGATTAATTGGCAGCCTTTTTTTCTTTCTTACTGTTACATAAAATATTGATATATCTTGTAGTTGCTGGCCAGTTCCATTCAGTGAAATATGCTGTATTTTGTAAACAGGAACCAAAACTATTCACTGGTTTTCAATTCTTGTTACTATCCCTTTAAATAGGAGACAGTTAATTGATCTAAATGTAATATTCCTTTAAACGAATGACTTGTATTGCAAAACTGAGACCATTAAGCTTTGAGGTCATTAATCACTTTTAATATGTGAAATACAAAGAGAGATGAAGGATTGGAGGCTGTGTTTTTATTTGAACTTCTCTGGAAACTTTGCAAGACTGACAGGTATTCACAGCTGTATCATACATTGGTCCCTAGTGCAGGATCAACAGTTGTGGCAGTTGCCATGTATTTCCAACCCACACACAGAATGGCTGTCATTGTTGTTGGCCTAGGTTCCAAGACAGCAGGGCTGGGTAGTGCTGAAGAGCGAGGAGAATGAGATTGAGGTGTAGGAGGTAATGATATGTATGTATTTATGTAATCAACACTCCTATTAAGAGTCTCATCTTTAATTTTGGGCTTTGGGATCAAAGCAGGATTTGGGAAAAATTTAGAGATTTACTAGACTGAAAGCCTGTTACAGCGCTAAAACCTATGACAAAATAATAAAGAAATTAAGTCATAGAGCCTAGAGGAGGGAGGATGCTCGTGGTCACAGGAGCCCTATGGATTCAGGTCTGTGTGGGCCATAGTCAAAGATGGGAATGCATTTTCTCCATCTTCATTAAGGGCATGATGAAGCATGATGGATTTCATTTAGATACAAAGATGATTTTAAAAGCTGTGGAGTTTCTTATTTGTCTTAACGGTTTCATGGATTAAACAGTCTCAAAGTTTCTTCTAATATTAAATGACAGCAATTTAAACTGAAAATCTAGCAATTTTCTTAACATCTATGAATGATAGTTTGCCTATTGGGATACAAATCGGGATAAAAATGCTTACCTTGAGGGTTGTTATGAAGATGAGAAATTATGTATATGGACTGACTAATTCAGTGCCTTCTATAGAGCGCGTCCTCAGTGAATTGGAATTTTATTACCATTTGACTGATATGACTCAAAGTCATAATAACTACTATTGATAGTTGTTACCATCAAATGCACTATTTGGAGAAAACTTCTGAGGAAATGTATTTTTTTTTTCTTTTTAGGCTGTGGGTCATCTTCTTGCTGCAGTCCTAAAGGAGAATGGTTTTTCAGAAAAGATCAATCAATCCACAAACCAGGTCTGTGTTTAACTCTGTGCTGTAGTTCTGCTCCGATATTGCTACCAGCTGGACCACAGAATCACTTCGCTTGTTTCCCTCACAGCTCAGGTCACTGTAGAAACGATTTAGAACTGTGAGAAGTTTATTGCCTTTTTTGTTTGTTTGCTATGTTTTTCTTCCAAATAAAACATTTAAAATTTGTGACAATAGACTCCAGGAATAAGATATGGAGGAGATGAGGGGAGTATTTTTATGATTATTAATAAAAAAATAACATGAGTGGAATGAGCGTAGGCATGGTTTAGAAGAGAAGGTTGACAGGGTTACCTCTGAGGGAATATTTTTGTTTAATAGAAAAAGTGAACATAGTGGCTCTATTTGGGTGTGGGAGATTTTTCGTGCTATAGATGGCCCCATGTATGAAAAGGTCATGCGTGGACAGTTGGAATTGGGGAAAAAATTCTTACCATGCATAGGGCAGGCGAATGCTAAGTGTGGAAGCAATGCCAGCCTACTGAGATATATATCACTTGGGTTTTGGTTGACCAGTGTTGTGTATTTTGACGTGCTGGTTGGAAATTCTATTTAAGTGGGTGCTCTAAGGTAAACCCCGTAGAGAATATAGATGATGGAAATGAGATGTTTTTTCACAGCAGAAACAAACCGATTATTTCCTTCCTCTCACATTCCTTTTGATTAACTGCTCCAAGTCACATTTCTTTGCTGCTTCTGCTGACAGGTTGAAGGAAGTGTAGGGGTATATACTTCACTAATTGGCATTTATCTAGTGTTTGTATGCAGTCATTTAAATTAGGTTTTCTGAGAACCCTGATCTTAATCCTTCCTGTAATCACATTATGTACTCTGACAAGATCTAGTGGTTTTACTTAAATTGCCAGGATTTATTGAATGTCAATCCCTGTAATCAAATATTTCCTTTTCCATTAATAAATGAATGCTTATTTCCATGAGCTCACAGTGTTATCTGAAGGGACAGTTTTTTATTTATTTATATTATTTTTCCGGCTTAGTAATTTAGTCCCCTTTCATATTATCCATGTGGGTGATTTAAATTTCCTTCTAAATAAAGTAAATAGAATATAAATATTACTTTCCTGTAATAACTATTAACTCTATTGTTCTGTCATAGTGGGATCCTATAATTGCAAGGATCTTAGAGCTAGCTACAGTAGGAAAGTGGACACAATAAAATGTTGATTTTCATTCTTTTAGTTATTCTATGGGAGCCAGGCATTTCTCCAAATTATATATTTCCCAATAAATTATTGGGGGAAGGATGGAAAGGAAAATAGTTTCATTATATGTTCTTTAAAAAAAGGCCAAAGCCCAAAAAATTCCCAAACCATGTATCAATCTAAATAGACTTAACCCACAATATATTTAAATATAGGTTTATCATTAATATTGAACTTTTTTTTGGTGAGGGAATCATGGGTTCCTGAGAAAGTTACGAAAGTTAGAACCTCTGCTTTAATAGGATTTTTCAAAATTAAGAACTTATATACCCTTCCAGTGCTTTTCTGTGAAAGATGACAGACTCATGGTGTGAGGGGTAGGGAAAAGTCACAGTCTCTCTCTTGGCCAAAACAGTTTTTCTAGGCTTTTGCTGGTAGCCATGGGACCAGCAGCTTGCTGGGAGCCTGTTCTACTTCTCTCTCTTCCCTCTGTGCCCATTGGGGTAGGGACATTTGTGTGTGGG